ACTAAATGACAGGAGAAAAAGTGTAAGTTGGTTAAACATCTTTTCAGAAGACAAGTTTGATTAAAAAAAAGTCAAATTTGATAATGATCATGTATCAGAAAAAAATAAAAATAAAATTTTTAAATTAAGGTGATCATGGGGCGCCTGGGTGGCTCAGTCAGTTAAACATCTGACTCTTGATTTCGGTTCAGGTCGTGATCTCAGGATCATGAGACTGAGCCCAATATGGGGCTCTGCGCTCAGCATGTAGTCTGCTTGAGATTCTCTCTCTCCCTCTGCCTCTGCCCCTCCCACTGCTCACATGCACACGCTCTCTCAAAATAAATAGGCAAAACCTTAAAAAAAAAAAAAGGTGATCATGTAACACAAATTTATATGAGGTAGAAAAATAGATCATTTTTCTTTAAGACATCAAAAATCTACTGTGTGATACTACTTAAAAGTATATGCTCTTACTTCAGGCTCTACAAAGCGAAGGTTCTTGTGTTAGAACAGACTGTCCCACTTTAATGGCTTGTCATTTTGTTCTTCTTTTCAATACCATCACATACTACATAATCCTTTTTATTCAATACAACTGAAACTAATGATATTAATCAAAACAGTAGATTGCAATGGGGAATCTAAAAAAAAAAAATTACACCTTAGACATTTTCTTTGAACTTCAAACCTATAAATGTATAATCTGTTGCCAGTCTTTTGATGCAGGCCTTGAGTTATAGATCCACTGACTATAGTTCCAGTCTCACACAAACCACACCCATAATGCATCGTCCACAATTTCTAGTTTCAATTTCTTTAAAAGTGAAGCGAGACTTAAAAATACTTGCCAAGGATCTAAATGAATTCTTCCAAATTACAAAAAAACAAAAATTTGTAAACATTTATAGGTAATCTCCTTATTGGCTCACCTTATAGTCTTTCCAAGGCAGTTAACTTAGTTTTCATAGAATCAACAATTCTTACATTTCAGTTATTTTTCTCTGGCTTATGAAATTTTATATTAAATTATATAATTATATTACAAGTGCAAGTTGTCATAATGTGATCCTTTGTAAGTCTATAATTCAACCAATGGGCAACAGTATGTCTTACAAAAAGAGAATACAATTTATTAAGACTAGCATCCCTGTTACAAAAGATTTAAAATCACTTCTTACTCCTTCTATTGTACTTGGAACAGTACCTGGCACATAGTAAGTACTATCTAAGTATTTGCTACTATATTAGCATTAAAACTAAACTAGCTACAGGGGTGCCTGGCTGGCTCAATAGGAAGAGCATGCGACTCTTGATCTCAGGGTCATGAGTTTGAGCCCCACATCGGGTATACAGATTATTTACACAAACAAACAAACAAACCTAAAAAAAAAAAAACACGTAAAAACTAGGGGGGCCTGGATGGCTGTCAGTTAAGCATCCAGCTCTTGGTTTCAGCTCAGGTCATGATCTCAGGGTGTGGATATCGAGCCTGGCATCAGGCTCTATGCTTAGCAGGGAGTCTGCTTGAAGATTCTCTCCCTCTGCCCCTCTCCTGACTCTCACATGCTCTCTAAATAAATAAATAAATCTTAAAAAAAAAACAAAAAACAAAACCTAAACTAGCTACAGACAGAGTGCATGCAACGGTGGAATTCTACCTACTTTACACAGCCCCTGGAGTCACAGAGACAACCTGTACTTAAATTGTCAAAATGGGGTTCCTGGCTGGCTCAGTCGGTGGAGCATGCTACTTTTGGTCTTGGGGTTGTGAGTTCGAGCCCCACGTTGAGTACAGAGATTTCTTAAAAAAATAAAATGTTAAAAAAAAGAGAGCAGAGTAGGGAATAGAAACTACAATAGGTCCTCATTGAAAACGTGAATATAAGGCAGAGTCAGTTTCACATAACTACAAGTGGATTATCCAGTACTTAAAGGAGATCTTAAAAAAAGAAGTAGGCTAGCTCACATATCAGGTCAACAAGAAATGAAAAAGTAGGTTCACAACCCAATTTAACCTCATCACCTCAAAAATGCTAAGAGGATGGTTACATGTCCTCCTAAAGAGTGGCACTAGATAGAGTTGGAAAACCAGCTGTATTTTCTCAGTGCACATTAGGCTACTTTCCTCTATCATTAACTCACTAGTGACAGAAAACACCAATCTCTTAAAAAAAAAAAAAAATCCATGCAGTGCATCCCAAGGCACAAACTTTTGGTTAACCAATTATAAATTAAATACACTAACAGAAACTGAATGTATATAAATACAATATGCAAGAAAATTTAAAACTCGTGAATTAAAAGCCTATACATCAGTGAAGAGCAAATGAAACATAAATGATAAATGTGGTGGCTTTACCATTTTGTTTTCACCTAAGGTTTGTGATGCAGATCTAATCTGCAGGTGTAAAAAACTTGAAGCAAGATGACAGAGTATCTATTAGCAACCAGAAGTTCAAACACTGCAGCTACTTAAAACACTCTTGTCCACTAGGAAAGAATCCACAGTGGCACTAACTTTCTTCCTTCTATGGACATCAAAAAGTACTGAAAATGATACGAATAGTTAGGAGACTCAAGAGACAGCCCCTGAGGGTTACACCGGTCCCACTAGATGGCACTATCACAGGAAAGGCATTCGGTTCTCCCATTTGGAGCAAGGGCTGAAAGCTCTCTTGATCTTTGCAAAACTGAAAACTACCAATTCAATGACATTCTCGTTGGGAAATTATGACCCATAATGAGGAATTCACAGCTAGGAGGAGGAGTTTTTCTCAAAGCACCTTTTCTCCCAGTAGCATGGCTTCCTCCTCCCCAGTCCTATTTCAAATCAGTGATCTGAGGGATACCATATTTTGCAGGCAAAAGAAGTCATACAAAATGGAGATTTTTTTCTTCTTCCTAACTCCAAACTACAGAAAAATTTACTTGCCTTTTCCCCCTCCCACGTTTCTTTGCTATGGGAAAAAATCAATCGCTTGCTGGTCCTTGAACAACATTTACTGTAGTCAGCATACTTACTATGACTAAAAACATCAAAATAACATAGTGACATTAAAACATTTGGATATAAATAAACTTCTTCATATATAAAAGGAAGAACTTCCTATTAAACAGGCAGATTAAGTTTTCTGACACCTTAATTACATTTCAAGTTGGGCCTGGGCAAGAAGATTCACAATGTCAATTATCCCCATCACGTATGCCCTACTCCATCAAAAGTATACTTGGATATAGGTATCATGACCTTAAAAACTGAAGAAAAGGAAGGCATGCTAACAACAAAACCCAATGAATTTAAACAACATACAATATGAATACAAACTTACTTTTATTCCATAGGCGACCACTTGAACAGACAGAAGATTTGGATATGAACCTTTTGCTGAACTCCCAAATTAAAAGACACATCAAAGGACATTATTAGGTAATCAACTGAATCAGAGATCAATTTAATACTCACATATACTGCTCACTTCCAGCTGAAGCTACTTCTCCTAGATCAGAGAACTCATATTTATACGTATAATATCTTTAATATATATCAACAGTCAGTAAAGCCACTCCAAAGTGCCACAAGTCAATCATTTAATAAAAGTGACCAAAGTCGGGGCGCCTGGGTGGCTCAGTTGGTTAAGCGACTGCCTTTGGCTCAGGTCATGATCCTGGAGTCCCAGGATCGAGTCCCACATCGGACTCCCTGCTCAGCGGGGAGTCTGCTTCTTCCTCTGACCTTCCCCCCTCTCTTGTACTCTCTCTCTCATTCTCTCTCTCAAATTTAAAAAAAAAAAAAAAAAAAAAGTGACCAAAGAAACCAAGAACTACAAAATATGTAACGAATCCTGTGTTCCCATAGGACCTTGTCACAGTTCTAATACAAATTTCACCAAAGTATCATCTCCCTCTCACTTTCTCCATGACGGAGGCTTGGAGGCAGAGCCATCATTCCTGACACCCTGCACAAGGCCTGCTATACAGCAGGCACTCAATAGCGGTTGAATGAACAAAAAAACTATCACCTGCACAAGGCCTGCTATACAGCAGGCACTCAATAGCGGTTGAATGAACAAAAAAACTATCAAGCTGTTCAGCTCACGAAAACTATGAGACCCCTCAAAGCAGCCAGTTTTTCCAACTAAACCTTGCCAACACCTTCTCCTTTAAGAAGCTACTAACCAAAGCCTGAGACTAACATTTAGGTCACCATAAGAAATAGCACAGAAAGAAATGTATCGCATGAAGTCAAAGATCAAAAATTCACAAGTCTCAAGCCCAAGTAATGCAACAATCTCGGACTGGTGAAGCTTTTCAATACGACATCACAAATATATTTTACATGTTGTATTAAAATCATAAATATATTGCACTAAAACCATCTTATGAAAGCAGAGGGGTGAACTACATGAAGATGCATAGGAAGCCATAACGTTGCTTAACTTAACCACCTGACCATTAATGGGGGCTTGAATCTTACTTTATGCTCCCAGAACAAAAATGAAGAGTGAGTAAAAAGGAAAAACAGGAGGAGAGAGAAGGCAGTCTGGGGGGGTGCAACCAGGAGGAATCTGTTGAACTGCAGACTGGGAGAATGACAAACTTAACAGAAGCAGATTTTTCAAAACTCTAGCATGTAACTATCCAAAAAAAAGCCATGTAATGAATCTATGCCAGTATCTTTTTGTTAACAGCTTTTTTTTTTTTTTGAATGACTGAGGAGTTCTGACAAAATATGGCACAAAATCCAGATACACACCCCATCAGGATCCTTGCAACAAGACCCATGGGAAACCTCTCCCACATTAGAGGGGAAAGAGAAGCATATACTACTGCCACTCAGAATCCCTTCAATACTGTTAAGTTAGGGGAGTGACTGGTAGGACCGAAGAAAAGTTCACTGGAACCATGAGCTGATCTCCCCTGCAATCTATCAGTATGGCCCACCGAAACTGATCTTAATTGTTTTCTAAATGTGTTTCAATTAGTCTATGAACAGTGTTCACTATCAGCATTTTACTCACCTTACTAACACCAACTCCTGTAAACCTGGCCTCTAATAATTCCTGCCGTCGAGGGTCCAGGCTATGCAATTCTTCCATCATTTCTACTGAAAAAAACAAAGTAAGTTGTAAGACCATAAAAGCTAAAACATGAGGTACCAATTTTTAGATATAACAAAATGCAGTAATTATTTCATTGAATGGTCACACACAGGTAAACCTCAAGTAAATACAGCGTGCAAGTGATAAACTACAATGTGCTGCCTCAAATAGCAACACATTTAAAGTTAAAAATGGCTCAGAAGTCCTCTTCCGAGGACTACTTATCCTTGTCTAGTTCTGATCTGATTTTAACAGCAAAAAACCTCCAACCCTTCATATAATCTCAGTAAAAGTTGAGGAAGGACTAACCTGCAAAACAACAACAAAAAAATCCTATCAACCTTTGAATTTAACTAAGTACTTTTGGATATGTTTCCCAAACCCATGGGAACTAGTTCTTAAACTAAAAATATGAATCGTTAATAATAACTTAAAAATAATGTAGCATGAATCAGAAGCTACAAATAACTTCAAATAACTCTATTATATAGCTCCTTTCTCTGAAGAGCTCACAGTAGCTCATGAAAAAAGGAATTAATTATTTTAAATTTAATAGAGAACCCATGGTAAAACCATCAACCAGCATTCACTCAGGAAATTAGTAGAGCTCCATAACCATCCCTTTACAAAATCTTTTTCTGACCACTCCCTGGAGCAGTAGGTTTCTCTAGACATCTGCTTTGAGCACTCCTTTCAAGCAGGGAAGGGCAGGAGGACACCATTTTTAAACTCCTTCCACGACCAATAAATGCACAGGCTACTTCCAGCAAATATGTCCATCCACTGCAAGAGATCAACTCCTGCAGAACCCACTGGAAATCTAATATTAAAAGTAGAATAAGAGCATACACCATTACACAGAACCCTTTTGAGCATATTATTAAACAGCTATTGGAACGACTGGCATGATTTAAAAGTTCACTGAGGACACGAATTAAACATTCTCCTCTGCAATCTAACAACTCCACATTAACTGTAACAACCCCTACCAGTCCTCCAGTTTCATTTCCCTTCCTGGATTGAGAGCCTGGGGCAAAGGGGAATGAAAGGGTGACAAATTAAAGTTTCACCCACACAAACAAGTGCAGGTTACCGAGGGAATAAGGAAATTCTCGAAAAGGCAGAAAGGCATCTTAAAAAAGAAAAAGAAAGGAAAAAGGGGATTGAGAGAGAGTGCTTCCCCTAAGTGGCCTTTCTCGCGTCTCGCCCTGCCCTAATCAAGGCCGGAATGGCAGAGGTTGCAGCCTCCCTCAAACCCTAGGGTCTCTCGGAACATTTCCTAAACCTCCATCCCCAGGCCTGGGCAGGAAAATGACGCCCCAGCGGTTATTCCATTTAATGTCAACTCATGTTAAGGAAATCTCCACTCTGTCTCATTCCAGCGGGGCCTCGGACTGGGATCCTCCCTGCAGCCCTCCCTACAGCCGGGAAGCAGAACCGATGGGGCCTGGTCCCGGCGCCCCTCGCCTCCCGCCGGCTCCAAACTTTCCCCAACTCCAGGCCCACCTGTCACGGAGGGAGGGCGGGCCGGCTCTCGGGGGCGCCCGGGAGGCTGCCGGGGCCTCCAGCTGCCGGGGCGTCCCCTTCGCCCTGGCGGTCGCCGGCCCCACTCCCAGGCCGGGGCCGCCTGGGCCTCCCCCATCTTCAGCCCAGCCCCTCGGCGACCCGCAGCCCTCGGGGAGCCCCTCCCGCCTCAGCGCCGAGGAGCTGCGGCCCGGCGCCGGTCCCCGGGTGGGCCCGGGCCGCAGCCTCCTCAGCTGAGGGGGTCCCCCGGACGGTTAATGCCCCAGGCCCGGCGCCCTCCCCCGCCCGGGGCTCAGCCTCTCACCTGCCGCCGCCGCCGCTCCACGCTCCTCCCGGGAGGGGCCCCGACCCGACCCGGTCGCGGACCGCTCCGCTCTCCCCCTGGGCAGGCCCGGGGCGGAGCCGGGGCCTCTCCTGAGCGCCGCAACCCCCCGCCCGGGCAGCCGCCGCCGGCGCCGGGCTCCACGAGAGGGCGGGCGGGGGAGGGGGGCCGCGGAGGCCGCAGATCCCCGGGCTCGCGTACAGAGCCAGGCGCCTGACGCGGGCCCGGGCCGGGGCGGCCGCGGGGGGCGCGGGACCGGCCTCCTGGCGCCGGACAAAGGCCAAGGGAGGCGCAGGAGGGCCCAGGCCGGGCCGGGAGGTGGGGGCCCGCTCGGCTGGGGGCCACTCGGGTGCGGCGCAGAGGGCGGGGGGGGGGTCGGAACCGCTGGTGCCCAGGACCCGCCTCCGGCCCCTTAATCCGGATCGGTTCGGTCCGGATTAGTAGTGATCGGTGTAAACACACTAGTGAAACCGCGTGTTTCCTCGCGAGATTTGCACGGCTGGGAGGCAGGGGGGGGTCCTGGGGGGGTGGGGGAAGAGCCGACAGTGGGGGAGGAGGGGGAGGGGACGAGGAAGGTGGGGGGGGGTCCCCGCTGCCCCGGCGCCCCGCCTCCTCCAATCAGCGGCCAGGCTGGCGGGCAGGGGTTAACCAGGGGACCCCGCGCCGGCGGAGGAGGCCGCCGCCTCGCCGGGCGGCTGAGGGCGGGCGCACGGGCGGCGCAGGCGACGGGCCGCCCGGAGCCCGACCCGGGCCCGAGTCCCGGAGCCCCCGCCCGCGGGACCGGCCCCGGCCAAGGCGGTTGGGCCGGCACCCTGGGCCGCGGACCGGCGCTGGAGGGACCTCGCTGCCCGGGCCGGGCGCTCCCCATCCGCCTCGCCGAACCCCGCGCCCGCCAATCCCTCGTCTCCACGAGTTTGGGTGAGAAGTGGGCTTACTCTGCCCAGGAATGGATTTTAGAGGAAGAAAGCCCGTGAGCCGGCGGACCCCGCCCGAACTTCCTCGGAGACGCCCAGTTAGTGAGTTCGCGGTGCCCACCGCGTTGGCTTCTCGCACGCCCCGCCACTCTCCACGGGGACCGTCCGGCTCCCCAAACCCACACCGGCCGCCCTGGAAAGCAGACAGCCACTTTCCCTCCACATACCTGGCTGGCAGAGGGCGCCTCTAGGGACAAAAGGTGCCCTGGGATCAAAGCTGAGCCCCCACCCCCGGCGGGATGCTGCCCTCCGGAAGGGGGGGCGCTACCCCAAAGGGACACCCCGGGCACCCAGGGGGGAGGTTCCATTTCCATCTCTGATAAAAAAAAAAAAAAAATACGGCCCTCCTGGGTACTTAGCGGGACCTGCGGGTAAGTACTAGAATGGAAAATACAGGCCTGCGCCTCACAGGACCGCTACTGAGGAATGCGAAATAGGAAGGGGTGAGCTCTTGTGCGCAGCAGCCCCTGCAGCAAGGAGGGCCTCCTGCATAGGAGGAGGCTCCCACTCTGATCACCCAGCAGCACCAAAGGAAAGGAGGAAAAAAAAAAAAAGCCCATTCTCAACCGACTCCTAGGAGCCAGGACACAGACTTCAATGCAAATACTCAACTTTGTATTTTGCTCTGACGCTTCCTTGATCAGACGTCTAAAGATGATTTAAGGAATACATACAAGTGATTCACAAGGGGAAAATTCAGACAATGAACAACAAACAGCCTTGAACTTTTCCAGGGGTTAGGCGAGTACTTCAAGTGGAGTTTCTGCCTTTTCCTCTTGCTTATTTTTTAATTCGTGTTATATTAACAGAACAGAGACTTGCTGAAAGGACAGAGGATGGCAGTTTACTGTTCGTTGTCCGACCTTCCATACCCTTGGACCAATTCGGGCACTGTGGGAAAAAAATCCATTAAACCAAGAGTCACCTTGCCCCAGATCCCAGCCAGGTTGGAAAGTGCACACACATATTTCCAAAGGTAACAGTATTTGAAGGGGAGGGGGAGAGCCAGTTAGGGGCAGAGTGTAGGAAAAAATGTCAAGGTGGAGGGCTATCAAGAGAGCCGGAGAACCAAGGGGCATACAGTATACATAGGACTTGCCTTCCCCTCCAACGCAAAAGACCAGCAAATGAAGCAAGCTCTTGCACTACAGTGAATAATCAAGAAAGCAAATCCTTAAAGCGACAATGGAATGTCGGGAGAAGAGTTTAAGAGAAGGAGCACTGGACAGAGAGTCAGAGCTGAGTTCCAGTCCAGCTGTCCCACAGACAAGCTGCAGGGACCTGTTTGTTACCCAACCTTTTCAAGCTTTCAACCTCATCTATGAAGGAAGGGTTTGGACTAGATTTACAAAGTCCTTTCCAGGTCTAAAAGGCTATGATTCCATTTTAGGAGGTAATTATTTCGAATAATCAGTGGAATACAGGGAAAGGTGATATTTTTAGTTTCATTTCCTAGTGTGTTTTTTCTCAACGTGTCAAAGTTACAATTTTGTAGGTCTCTTCACAGCCCCACTCTAGATTTAACATTCATCCTAGAAAGAATCGCTTGTAGGAATTTAATGAATTTGCTTACCACAAAGATTGGGTGCTTCTATTTATAAGTGTTGTAGAAATGAAGATACCAAATATCAAGAGCAAGGGAAAAGAACCTTACCCTTTCTCAGAGAAAGATGGATAATTTCAAAACAAATTCTCTTGTCAAATGGTTCCTCTCACAATGTGACTGAACCTTGGGTTCATGAATCAGCTTGTTTGAAGTGTGTTTGCTCACATGGCAACTTGGTCAGACTCAGCTTGTCATAGACTGGCAAATGGTGACATGCCCCATGCAAAGACCCAATTCCCATTAGCTGTGGAAGGCTCAAACACGAATCCAACCAGGTTCATGTTCATAGTCACAGGGAAGACCACGAAGCTGGCTGGACATGCCTCAGACTAGCCCTGGTGTTCCCCAAGGTGCGCTCTGCACGCCTCATTAGGTTAATACTTTAAAGGGAGTAGCCATACATTGGTCCCTGGGAAACTCTTGGTTAAAGCAAAGTGGAATCCGTTATATCCGTACTACTTGGAACCCAAAATGTGTAATAGGCATATGGCAATGGGGGGGGGGGGGAGATGGAGGTTTTCAGTACTTTTCCATTTAATTTTGGAACCACTACTCTGGTTTTGGTTGGTTGGCTGGCTGGTTGGTTGGTTGAGTGTAGTCATGGAAAAGGTGTTCTGAGAAAGACACTGGGGGAAACTGGTTTAACCTTTTGCTTTTTAACCTGTACCACACTAATGATTGTCCAGCATCTCCTTGAATGTTTCATAATATCCACCATCTGCAAGCAAAAAGATCCTGGCATATGATACTGAGCAGGTTGACAGTGAGTCTTAGTGTGATTGCACCTTTTCTAAAAGGAGCCTGCAATGTGGTGGCTTAAGAGGACAAACTTACTAGGCAGCGTCCTTGATTTTAATCCGTTCTACCTCTTATCAGCTGTGTAGTCTCAAGCAAGATATTTAAATTCTCCATGCCTCAGTTTCTTTATCCACAAAATGGTGTTAAAATCTCCCCGGACTGTTGGAGGATTAAATGAGAATATATATATATCTATTATGTAATATAATAGATATATATAATAGAGTAATCCCTAAATCAGTGGTTCCCACACTCCACATTTCTGCAAAGAGTTTATGTACATTTGTCATTAGACTGGTTTAAGGGCACAGAGTTTAACTTTGGAAGTCTTTGGAAGTCAGGCTGCCAATGTCTGAGTTGTTTAGGTGTTTTGCTTCATCACAGAAAAGGGACCAAAAAAATAAAGAAAAAGGACTTGAGGTCTTTTTAATGAAAGCATTACATTTGTTGGGGGGGAGGGGTGTGGGGAGTAGAGAAAAGCAGGTCGCCTGCTTGCCTGGTCTTTTTATGCTGTTCTTCCCCCACCCCCGAGAACTGAGGGTTTCTCACCGTATGAATAAATGAGGAATTTCGTGAAGGCAATATTTCCACTATAAATTGCGCTAGCCAGGACAGTGTAGAATCCTAAAGTATTTATGACCGGGCAGAACGAGGTTCCAATCCTGACTCTTCACCTCTCGGGTTCCCTGTCTGAAAACCGGCCAGCACACCTAATTCCATGAGTTGCTTTAATTAAAATTGAAACAGTGATGGGAAACGGCTTGTAACCATGCCTGACCTACAGCAGGCGTTGAGTCAACGTTATTTCCCCTCTTCTCCCCATTCCTAACGAAAGGGGAAAGTGGTTGGCTGCCTGCACTACAGATTTTATAAAAATTCAGATCCCAGCATTCGTCAGACTCTGCCAGTCACTCTTCCATCTCTGTTTGGCGTAGCCTCCTCCCGCCGCCGAGCTTGCTTCACAAACTCCTCTTGAGCAAGTGCCCTTGACACCGCTTGCTTTATTTATCAAGTCATGCGTTCTTCCCCACAGCCCACCGACAGTGCAACAATCTTATTCTGGAGGGTACCTCCCTTCTCTAATATCCTCTTCCAACTCCCTCCCCGCAAGTTATTTTTTAATAAATGTTTTTTCCCTGCATTGTGTGTTCCTTCTTCCCAGCAGCTGCAATGCAAGATAGAGCAAAAGAGAGTAAATGCACTTAAATGTAACAAGTCCCCTCCCCTTAGCTACTCAATCCCCCTCCCCCCCCACTGGTCGTGCTCAGAAAGATAACTTCAATAGGAAACAGCAAACATGATATTTGTGGAAACTGGCAAAAGGATATTTTTAAAGTCTCAGTTCTTCTGTTGGCTTTAAAAAAGTGTGTCTTTAAAGTTTATTTATGATTTTTTTTAGTAATCTCTACTCAAACTCACGACCCCAAGATCAAGAGTCAGATGCACCACTGACAGAGCCCGCCAGGCGCCCCTCTTCTGTTGGCTTTTTATATTAGGCTTCAGTCATCAACCTTCTGACATAGTGACACGGGTCATGAGGGAAAGGGAGCCCGAGCCCCATGCCCCTAGAGAGGAAAGAAGGGGATCACCCTGTGAGGGGCAGGAGGCTTGGGGATGGCCAGCCCAAAAAGGCAAGTCAAAAGATGAGCCCCTTCTTACACAGCCTCTGAGCTAAGAATGAGCTTTACATTTGTAAATGGTGGAAAGAAAATAAAAGGAGGAATAGTATGGCACATAAAAATTACATAAAATTCTAATTTTGGCATCCATAAATAAAGTTCCATTAGAACACAGCCACATTCATCCTTTGCATGTGGTCTGTGGCTGCTTTTTGCACCACAAAAAACAGTAATTGTGACAGGCCAGGAAGACCTGAAATATTTACCATCTGGTCCTTTACAGAAAAAGTTAGTCCACCTTGGCTGCCGGCCAAGGACTTCTCAAATTGTAATGAGCATATATAACCCTTGGGCATCTTGCTAAATGCAGGTTCAGACTTAATAAGTCTGGGATGGGGCCTGAGACTCTGCATTTCCAGCACCTCCCTGGTGACGCTCTTGCTGCTGGTCTGCAGACCGTACTGAGTATCAAGGCCTTGAAAGGCTTGTCCATCTTACGTTAATTTTTGTGAATGATTTCTAAGTAAGCAAATCTTAGAAAATATGAAAACTTGGAGTGTAACCCAGGATAACCACCTCAAACAGATTTTCCACGTTTCATCCCATTGTTTTGCATCATGTGACGGCCTGATGGCTGAGGAAATTGATTTGCCGGCAACCTTGCTGAGGCCAAAGGGATTGCAGCCCCAACACTTATGGGATGTGAGGCTCCCTTGTATTTGCCGTAAACTTTCCATTCCGGCCCCAGAAAGACCTTTCTGAGTTCACCTTACCCAAATTATTCTTGATTTTTCCAATTTGAGGCAAGTCCCCTCCCTCAGCTCTTCCTTCATGGACCAGCGCTTCTCAGAGTGACCAACCCTTGAAGAAACATCCAGGGTTCAAATCCTAGCCCTTCTAACGTGTTCTGACACCTAGAAGCACGCAAGTTCTGGTGCCTCAGTTTTCCTACCTGTGTGATGGAGATAAAGTATGTAAAGCCTCTGGATTTGTGGCAGGTGCTTCCAAACCTGCAAGCATCTCAAAACTTCAGATACCCCAGACCTGCTCCTCCCCCGAGCTGACTCATTTTAGCAAATGTCAATTCCATTCTTTCATGATCTAGACCAGAAACCTTGGAATTATCCTCTTCTACTTTTACCCCCGGCTCCTCCACTCCAGCCTCACTCTCTGCTCCCACCTCAGGGCCTTTGTACTTACTATCCCTCTACCTGCAATGCTCTCCATCAGCTACGTAACTGGCATTGGCCACAGGTTTTTACATCACATGAAGTGCATCCTAGCTTCTGTGTACATATGATAATGAGGTGGAACTGGCAAATA